TGTTTGAAAAAAAAAGAAGAAATGGAGTTCCATATCTCATTTTCAACTACAACCATCATTTCTGTTATTGTAGTGGCTTTTGTTCTGCAAATCTTGAAGAGAAAGAAGGCAATTAGARGGAAGAAGAGTGAACCACCGAAGGCAAAGGGCGCATGGCCTATAATTGGACACCTACACCTTCTAGGTGGATCTCAATCACCTCAGAAGGTTTTAGGTGACATGGCCGATATATATGGTCCCATCTTCTCCATCAACCTTGGTGTCCATCAAGCTTTGGTGGTGAGTAACAAGGAGATTGCTAAAGAGTGCTATACCACAAACGACAAGGTCTTTGCAAGTCGACCGAAAKCGGTGGCATCTGAGCTGATGGGCTACAACTATGCCATGTTTGGCCTTGCTCCTTATGGGGAACATTGGCGACAAGTGCGCAAGATCATCATGCTCGAGGTTCTATCTCAACGACGAGTAGAGATGCTTGGACATGTTCGAGTTTCAGAACTTARAGCATCATCGAGAGAKATCTATGAGGCTTGGGTAAACCACAAAGAAAATGGGGGTTCAGATATGGTAAAGGTGGATATGCAACAATGGTTTGGGAACTTGGTACTGAACGTTGTAGTTAGGATTATTTCAGGAAAGAGGTTTTCGCCCAACGATAAAGAAGGGGTTCGATTTCAAAAGGTGGCAAGAAAATTCTTTGAGYTATTGGGCGCATTTGTGGTGTCTGATTTCATCCCCTATATTAAGCGTTTGGACTTGGGAGGATATGAGAAAGAAATGAAGACGATAGCAAAAGAGATGGACAACGTCATTGACGGATGGTTAGAGGAACACAAGAGAGAGAAAGGGTCAGAGCAGCAACTTGAAGGAAACCAAGTCTTCATGGATGTGTTGATTTCCATTCTTGAAGGTGCCTCCGAAGAGGATTTCCCCGGTTTTGACCATAATAYCATMATCAAAGCCTCATGTCTGGTAACCTTCAACTTGATCTATATTACTATATATTACATCATCATTATGTTATCTTAGATGTTATACAAATATTTTGATTAGGGTACATATTAATGGTTCCTTGAGGTCTCAAGCAGGTAAAATGGTTGACAAATRTAACTTTCAGAAAAAAATTCCATTCGATTGTGATATTTTCAGATTCATTTTGATGTTTCTAGAACTGTTCCCTAGGAAGGATAAGATGTAGGGAAAACCAAGTTATCAGCATATTGATTATAACCTATTTGGTATGATTTCAATCTTGCAGGCAATTCTAACTGCRGGTTTGGACACGACATCGGGGACATTAACATGGGCTTTATCTTTGTTGMTGAACAACCCAAAAGCATTAAAAGTTGCCCAAGATGAAATTGATGAGCATGTTGGAAGGGAGAGACTGGTGCAGGAGTCGGACATGAAAAACTTAGTCTACCTCGAAGCCATCATCAAAGAAACACTGCGTTTATACCCAGCTGCACCTCTCGCCGTTCCTCATGAGTCCATGGAGGATTGCAGTGTTAGTGGCTACGATATTCCCAAAGGCACACGATTGTTGGTAAATCTTTGGAAAATGCATCGAGATCCTGATATCTGGTCAGATCCCAATGAATTTCAGCCTGAAAGATTCCTGACAAGTCAAAAGGATATTGATGTCAAGGGAAAACAYTTCGAATTGCTTCCGTTTGGTAGTGGTAGRAGAATGTGCCCTGGTGTTTTCTTTGCCCTCCAAGCCATGCGTTTAACATTAGCTACCTTGTTACAACAGTTTATGCTTAGAAACCCATCAAATGAGCCGGTTGATATGAGTGAGAGCTGGGGATTGACTACCAGCAAAGCAACGCCACTTGAGGTCCTTCTTTCCCCTCGTTTATCCCATGGTATGTATCCTGTCGGTGCATGATCCCAGCATCAAATCATATACATTCTCACCCACTTCCACCCGCAAAACCACAGCTTACCATGATATGGCCTGTGAAAGATAACCCTATTTTGACTGACTGCAATGGTGAAATAAGATCTTCATTATGGTGTAAGAATGCATCAACTCCAATTATTGTATATGTAATAAATTCTTCTGTTTTTGTTGTGTTGTTCCTGTATAATATTGTTATCTAGACTGTCGGACTACACAAGCCATGCCGACTTTTTTGGTTTTGGGGATGCATGGTTGAGATGTCTACATCRWTGTCGTGTTTATTATCCCAATTATTATGTTTACTTATTATCTTRTGTATATCTAAACATAATAATAACAKTAGAATAATGTCTTCTAAAATGTCTCTGGTCAAGTATATTAATTCTCGTTTACGTTGAATTAATATGCACTACACGAAAAATCCTAATTAGTGACAAAAAAATTTGGTTACCAACAACCTAAAATTGGTCACTAATGTCGTTTAGTGACCAAAATTTTGGTGGTCATTTTTCGTCACTAAAGGTCCGTCAGTGATTTCCAATAGTGACCAAATGCAAAAATAATCACTAATTAGCGACAAAATTAAACTAGTCATTGTATCTGTGATGACTAATTTAGTCACTAAATTGCTAAAAGTCGTCACTAATTAGAGTACTTCAATCCCATCTCTTTCTCAAGTTCCCAAGTTGCTTCTGACCCGTTATGACGTCTTTATTGAACTTTCACGAGAGATATCCATTTGCTTCTTAGCTTTYTGATTTTCTTTTCTTCACGTCCTTAAGAGTTACAACTTTCTTTTTACCTACTAAACACTTTCTTAAATTAGATATATTGTGTCATAAATTTCACATTTGAGTGATGTGCTTAAATATCACAGAAATGTGTTTATTATTGACTTTGACTAAGTCACTAGTCGAATACCAACTTTTGAGTTATTTAAGCATTTCACCGGATTCATATTCGAATTCATCCTTCTGGAACCATAGAAATTAACTTAACCCATTTTTCATTTATATCATCATTGTACTCATYCTAGAGTCTARTCACAACTCTTTCCTTTGACGACAAATACGTACCATCAGTCGACTTACCWACTTGTTTTACCAACTAATCAATTAACTCCCCTTTCATAACACAAATGCTACCATTTAGTTCTAATAACCCAATTCATACCTTTATATATAGTCATTCTTAAACAAGGCATTTTGTAATAACCTTTTATATGCTTGTTGATTTTTAGGATATTATGTCTCATTCATAACATTGATTGTTCTAAGTGCACATATTTACTTATTTCATCATCTTCAACTTATATTGCAACTTACTTATCTTTGACTTAATGCAAAATATCTCATGCATGTTTACACTATTCTAGCTTTGATGTCTTTCTAGCTATCATTATGGGAACAACTCCAACGCTCCTTTTTATCGCTTAGAATTCATACATTTGGAAATAGACCTTATTATTTAACCATAAAATATTTCTTACTTACTAAACCTGATAATTTATTACAATTAACACTTTCTTTTACCACCTTCTTGCTTTTATATATTGCTCAAAACAACACATGCTTACTAACAATTTCATAAAATCAAATAAGTTAATATCATCTTCCAACCACTCTTGAGATGCCTATGGAGGATAATAGAACCCCAATGTCCTACTGGATTAATCAACCATAGTCTTCTACATTCTAAGATCATCTCGCGCACTGATTTGGTGTCTTTTACTTTAAGAAACTAATCATGTGAGAACCCTTAGATCTTCTCATAGGGTTTACATATGATCTCGACATTCTAACTCAATTGAAAAATCCTTCAAGTAGTCATGCATCCAATTAAGATCATCAGTTCTTACCATGAATCTGTTGCCATCATTAATTACACGAATAACCTCGTGGTTAATATCATATTTGAGTATTCAATCTCTTTGCCAATTGATATATGAAATGTTCCCCATCTGGCTCAAATATGAGTCGAATCAACTGATTATAGCATCAGTACTTTGAGTTCCTTTTATTCTTAAAGTTTAATATATTTTTTTCTCACTCAAGCAAATTAGTGGGAGTTTATTACCAAACTTCATCCCTAAAAAAGAAACCCCTTTATCTCTACCTTTTTATTTCTATATCATCGTACCATGTGTTTTTCCATCAGTTACAGTTACATTATCAATGTCGTTATACCCATTGGCATCAATCTGTCTAACGACTTCTTTACTTTGTTCTATGACTAGATTCAAAAACCCAAGATTTACTTAAACTACACTCTCATCACTATATATCAATCTTTAGTCCCACGTCTTGTCAAGAACAAAAATCTTCCATTCTTAGTTTAAATCTAGGTTTACAATAATCTAGTTCCCTTAAACTTTGCTCTGATACCACTTGTAACATCTCAAAATTTCGAATACTTAAATAAAACAAAACTAGTATCCCAAGATCAAACACTTACATTGCAGCGGAAATACAAATTTCTAATCTTACAAATTATATTACCATCTAAAATTCACAATCTTGAGGATCATAACTTTGCTCTATATAACAACGCATTGATCTACATATATCTTTTTTCGTATTAATCCTTATCTATATTTATCCCATTTTTCTTTCCACTCAAATAGCCGTCTAGGTGAAAAAGTTGTAAAAGAGTTTTGGATGAGCCTTAGGACTAGTCGATCCACGGTTTTTATGCATGAACAACAACTTTTACAATAAACAATTTTCACTAAGCTTCATAAATTAAGCATGCCTTGATGAGAATAATATTTTTCACAAAATAAATGTATTACAATGGGTGACTATATGACAAAGCAACGACGTCATGGAAGATGTCTACATCACACAACATTACTTGACGAACTCACACTACATGTCCGCACTTACGGCGTAGACAAGCTCACAAAACATGTTCGTCTTTACAAAATCATACCGTAGTACATTCACATTGACACAAAAATACACAAAACACATATTATAAAAATATCGAACTTTTCACGCACATATAGCATATCAAAAATCTCGAGAAACTTCAATCAAGCTTGTGAATAATTATAAATAAGGCATGCAACCATTTAAAAAAATAAATCACGTGTAACTCATTGTATAAGTCGTAGTCCAAACCGTTCTCTGAAGAGGCTTGTGCCTCCCGATAGACATCGAACTATTTTGTGATGTACAACACCGTCGACTCTCATTTCATCATGCACCGTTGCCTTTGCTCACAACAGTTCTTCTTATCGACCCCAAAATTTACATAAGACTACAAAACTCCCATTTTATAATAAGTCATCGACAGTTTACAGAATATGAAATTATAAGACATGATTAACAGGGCTGGCGTAAAAGTCCAAATGATGCCCAACTAAAAACATCCAAGTGCGGTAACTTACAATTGTCTAGCTTATTCCTTCATAGACCGAGAGACGTATTAGTGTTTTTTAGTGACTTAAGGTATTTGCCTATGAAATTAGCTAGTGCATGACTCTTTAGTCAATCATGTGTTTCATATAATAATATTTAGGGTMTTGAATAATGACAATCATGAGTTTCATATGTAAAATTGCAAAGTTAAGGGAGACCAGTCAAGTGAATTAGCTACTGCACATTCAAGTGAGGGCAAATCATCACTTAACTACTGCACATTTATAGGTTTGTTCAACTATATTATATCTGCTGAAATTGTGTTAATATACATCAAAATCTAATGGGATTAGAACAAAAAGCGGTGGATGATAACTTGAATATTAATCACAGAATGAAGAACTAAAACTCTAGAGATAGGCTTGATTGATTCGATGAACAACTAGATCAATTAATAACAATAGTATTCATTTAACTTTAAACAAACATAAGAAATATAGAACTTATGCCATGAACAACAAAACTTCAGTTGAAACCCATGAAAAAAAAAACTTACTTGTGCAGTTGAAGAGTCAATCTAAGAGAAATAAACAATGCAAGCTTCTGAAAGTTTCTGCAGCAAATTACTTTCCTCTACCTCTTTTCCCGTACCTAGGTTGGGATTAAAGAAATAAGGAATATCAATCTTACTACCACGGTACAGATAATTTTGATGACATACACAACAACTTACCATGAAATGCATAATGAACCTATTGTCGACAAGAAACAAGTTTTTATGGTATTGGCTCTTGCTATGTAATGAATAAAGTTTTAACATTTGGGTAAACCTAAACTAAACAAGATAAGTTAAATGACCCTAACCTAAACTAAACAATTAAACAAAATAACCCTAATCTAAACAAAAGATCAAATCTTCAAATAACAATCTCAATCATCAGACTTTGAGCGGTCGAGAGTCGAGAGGCGAGAGTCGACTGCCGAGGAACAAGAGGTTTATAGTCTTATAGACATCTTTAGGTCAACCAGTCAACCACCCAACAATTAACAAATGGTAGAATGGCAGCAAAAGGCATGGATTTCAATTAGGATTTAGGCATACATGATACATTAACATTATATATACAGACATASAGTGAATCAGTGATACAGTAACAATACTAGAAACACAAATGACAAACCACAAAGGACCAACTTCACAGCTTCATACTTAGGTTTTGCAATCAAACAAGAATTAGAAACATAAGAAATGAAATAAGTAAAGTAAATAACCCTAACCTCACAAGCCACAAGATGCAAGAGTGAGAGGGAGAGGGAGAGGCCGAGAGCCGGTCGATAGTCGAGACTCGAGAGAGGCAGAGAGGGAGAGCGAGAGCAGATTGAGTCAAGGCCGATTGCGATTTCGATTCATGAATCGTGAATTGGTTTCTGTTCGTGAGTTCGTCCATGAGCGAGGCGAGAGGCGAGGGAGGACGGATCGAGTGAAGGACGATTGAGATTGAGATGGTAGTGAACTGATAAAATTATTTTTAGGCCCAAGTCAAAATTGAACCTATACATGTATATTGGGCTTCAAAAAATTGATGCCCTTGGGCTTTATGCTGTCCTGGGCCATTGCCCCCTGGGCCTATGATCAGGGCTGGCCCTGATGATTAATGGTCGGAGGTTTCATAACCCTTAGAGTTCCATGGTTATTGAATTACAATTTTAAGGTCTAACGCTTCACTTCCTTTACCTTTACACAACAAGTCCTTGTAGATTGAGAATGTTTTTTTTGGTTGCTACAAAAATCTTTCCCAATGGTCGTTTACCAATTTAAAATTCAACTCTATCACGTATTTACCGGTTAAGATTTTAGTCCAACAAAACAGATTGTATGGAATAATTTACCCAATGGGTGCTAATCGTGGTAAAAGTCATCGTTCTTA